CCCCCAGGGCTCGGTCCTGGGGCCTGCGCTGTTCAATTTCTTCATCAGCGATCTGGATGATGGGGTGGAAAGTAACCTGTTTAAATTCGCTGATGACACCAAAATTTGGGGGGAGGTGAGCACGCTAGCAGGGAGGGGAAGGGACCAATGTAATCTGGAATCTCACACACGCACACACGCACACGCCAAGCCCGTGGCTTGAAATCTTGTCAACTCTGGTGGGCCCAGCCCAGTGAACTATATGGTAAATCAGCAGCCTATTGGGTTTAGACTAATATCATGCATAGTCTGTACTATTTATAAGCAGGTGCCAAAGTGCTGCCTAAAAGTGTGTTTTGGCATAGGTCAACCATAAACTTTCAGCAGTTTCAAAAAAGGTAACATGCAAAAATTCTGGATGAACTAAATCTGTGGGTATTATATGCAAATAACAACAGCTATGTTTAATTTCAAGATCAGCATTTCCAAATTTGCTCCTCTCTTCCATGTGCTGAGGGAAAGCAGGGCCTGAAAGTAAAGAGGGGGGTGGGAAGCAGGCTACCTAACTCCCCAGATTTATTTTCCCTGCTATGACAATGAGGAAGACAAAAATCAAGGCCAGCCTCCGATAAATTAGATTCTATACTCAGAAAATTATAACCAATTTATAAAGTTTTCCGTATATAAAATCTAATTAGAAGTAGTCTTATATCCAGGGCTGTCTTCTATTCAAGTAGATACAGTATATATTTCTTCCCCCACACCTTACAAGTGACATGCAGTAAGGCTAATCACACCTTGTCAGGCATCTACAGATGCATCACAAGCAGGTCCAGGGAGATGATCCTTTCCCTCTATGCGGTGCTGGTCAGGCCGCAGTTGGAGTACTAAGTCCAATTCTGGGTACCACACTTCAAGAGAGGTGGCTAACCTTGAGAGGGTCCAGAGGAGGGCCACTTGCATAGTCAGGGGGCAGCAGACTAGGCCCTATGAAGACAGACTAAAGGGCCTGAATCTATTCAGCCTCCACAAGAGAAGTCTGAGAGGGGATCTGGTGGCCATCTATAAACTCACCGGGGAGAACTAGTGGAAAATAGGTGAGGCTCTGTTCCCCCAGGCATCACCTGGGATAACAAGGAATAACGGCCACAAATAATTACGAGTAGGCTCAGGCTTGATATCAGGGGGCATTACTTTACCGTTAGGGCTGCCAGGCTCTAGAATGGGCTCCCAAGGGAGGTGGTGCTCTCCCCTGCCTTGGGGGGGTCTTCAAGAGGACGTTGGATAGATATCTGGCTGGAGTATTATGATCCCAGCACTCATTCCTGCCCAGGGTAGGGGGTCAGACTTAATCTGTTCAGGTCCCTTCAGACCCTAGAAACTATATACAAGCTGTTACTTTATAATATAAAGTGAAATATGGCAATATCTGTTACCTTAAAAGCTGAGGCTGCACACAGAGCCTGTGGATAGATTCTACTGCAACAGCTCTTAGCCACTGTGGTTTGTCTGCATCCAGAAACTTTACTAACAGTGACAGAAAGATCTCACATTCTGTTACCTACAAGAAATAGGTTACAGTCATATAAAGCAAAAACTTGATGCAATATATTCTCTCCTCCGAAGCTTGTCAAATCCTTAGCAAATATTGGTTCATTCTGCTTTTGCACTAGGTTGAATTTCTGTCAGCCAATCACTAAAAATAACACAGAATACATCCAGCAATCGCAAAGTTTTGCCAAGCATATGCCATACACTCGGCTGCATTCAGGAGTTACATTCCCTTACTGACGTTTCTAAGAACAGTATTAAAGAATGGGATAACAAGCCTATAGAAGTAAATATTTAAGAGTTGGAGAGTTCATCATCAGTTGAAAGTTAAGCACTGTAGTAAAAGAACAGGGTGTCATAGTACAAGTCCCTTGTTCTCAAAACAGTTTGCAATACAAGTCAAAAAACCCTCTCACTGAGCAACAATAAAAGCAGACAACTGAGTGCTCAAGACAAATCAAAAAGTTACAAGGATATAAATACTTTTTAGAGAGCTTTAACTGAATTAGGAGTTAAAATACAATAGCCATCCACAATCTTTACTGCAAGGAAAAACCATGCACAAAAAAGATATTCACTAATCTCAACTGAGCTTTCAACTCAACCCATGCTTGAAGTATGTGGGTGGAGAAGAGATAGCTATGCTTATCTCCCATATCACAACTACTGCTTAAAAATAAAAAGAAAGGAATTGAGAATAAGTTATATCACATAATTGTCTTTTTCTACTTAATCTGAGCCCTAGTGTTATGCAGAGGTGAAAAGTAAGTTACTGCTGTCTCAGAGCTATCAATTATCAATGTTACAGGAAAATATTCAAACAAATAGGTTAGTGAAATCTAAAAAAATAAGACACACATATAACGAACAAGCAATAAACAGCTGCTGCCACTGTCAGGAGTCCCAAAAGGCAGGAAGAGATGACATGATTCATGTTTAGAGACTTATCTTTTTACAAACCAGGAGCCTGTCAACATATAGTCCCATTAGCCTCCCCTCTTTGAAAGAGAATGCTAATTAGAGTCCTCATGCAACTTGCCAGGAGACTAGACCTATCAGAAGAATCTACCCTCCTCTAGAAAGATTGTCAGTAGCAGCAGCCAAGGTTAACAGCAGCAGTAGCAGGAACAGGACCTCTGCCATGCCAGGACTCCTTATCACATTAGAAGTCACAGACTTCTAGCTGATTTATGCCTTGATCCCAATTAGGACCTGTGTGTGACAGTAATAAAATAAGTAACTGACAACATGCCTCACACTTCAGGGAATAAGGTAACCAAAAGCCTGGGGTCATCACAAAATATTTACTGCTTTCCCATGTTTGAATAAATAGCAAGGAAGCACTAATACATAGGCGGAGTTTGACCTTCCTCTGAAGCCTCAAGTAAGGGA